CCATTTGTGACGTGACTGTCCTGATAGGGGGAGCTATCTCTACCTCTCATGCGAGCGCTTCACTCAATCGGCTTATGCTGGGTAGGGAAGCTAAAATACCAGCAACCTTGAAGATTGTCCCACCCCTTCCGAGTCTTTTTTGAAAATGGGAAGAGGGTGAAGTAGAAAGAAAGATTATGTCTAAGGAGATTGATGATTTTGTGTTTGATGGCGGGAGTTACGCCGAAGAACTTAAGAGTGCGGAGTGATGCCGACTCCGGGGCATAAGCTCAACCGCAAAGCAACTCTGGAGAACCGGAGAGCAGTTCAGCTTATTGACGTCATTTGACCAATCAATAAATGCCGATATCTTTATTCAGGATAATTATTCATAACATTCCACTATCTAAATAGCTATTGCATATCATCCAAAAAGAAGATACTGTGCACATAATGTAATCTATATTGGAAATAAACACTTGCATGCTTTTTAACAAATAAACTTGCTTGTTAAATATTCTTCAAACACATTACTTTTTATAAATACTCTTTATTTCTATCAGTGATGTAAGCTGTGATTCGAGATCACCTAAACTTTTGATAGCATGATAGGTTGAGGGTTTGTGAGAAGAGTAGCAGATAAAATATCCTTGGCTAGCAAAGATGAGCAAATGCATGTCACATAAATTAAATTACTGAAAAGATGGTAATGCAAAAGCCACTAATTTGAAAATGAGATTCCAAGTTTCATGCATTATCTATCTTGTGAGGTTTCTTCTTACTTATCAAATGACGAAAATGTTTTAACAAGTGACTCAGTCAGGACAAAATATCTGTTAAAAATAAAAAAAATTTAAGATAATTCTTCTGTTTTTTAATTACATTTTATTTTAATTAACAAAGGAAATCATGTTAGATTTTGATCGATTGATTGACTATTATTGTTTAACGCCGAGTCGGCAATATTTCGGCAATCAAATTAAGTGTATACATGTATGTCCAATTTTGAGGTTCTTGGTTTCTCTGGCGGCCCCCAGTGAGCCTACTCTTTTTCGAACACCAGAGAAACGATCTTTTACGTGCCAAGGGGGTTGTAATCCTTGACACTGGGCACCATTTAACGTCCCATCCGACGGACTCAACATTTAAAAATATGTAATCAGTTAAAATATAGACATAATTGCTTAGTTATACTATTCTAATTTTAACTGTAAAATCAGATTCATGTAAAAATTCTAAAATTGTATAAACATTTATATCTGTATAAAGTTCATGCATCGTTAAAAAGTCTACTTCGAGAAGGAGAAAAATCTGTACATTCCAAAAGAATATGACTGATAATTAACGGACATTCACATGGTATACATTCTGGTTGCCATTTTCGGGTAAGTAAATATTCATGTGTTAATTTTGAATGACCAATACGTATTCTGGAAATAATTACTTCGTCCTGAAGTGTTAGATTTTGAAAATGATGAAATAAGTACTTAACTGTATAATTGATACTAATTGCATTACTTTTTAAACCATATTTTAATAGCATGTGTCACTAAGGTTGAAATACGTGTAATCATTTCTTTCAAATTTTAATTTATTCGCTCAAGTTTTAGATATATTTAAATTTATTTTTGGGATGGCAACCAAGATATGCATATGTGTGTTTTTTGTTATAATTTTTTACACAATTTTTTACGTCAACCATTATCTGTAAAAGCATGTAAAAATAGCTGATATATGGGCTCTGCATACTTTTGAATTAATTCATGTCTTACATTTTGTTAAGGTAAGAAATGTTGATATACTAGCCGCTTACTGATAATTTGAGCCCAAATCTGTGGCATTTACACCATTACAGAGATCTAAGGAGTTGTAACCCCCCCCCCCCCCCAAAAAAAATCTAAGAGTGCTACATTATTGCAACTTACTTACAACAAATGAAATATCCCTCCAATAGTATGTTTTTAAGAACGAGTCAAGACAGGCAAAAATCTGGAAAGATCACCGGGAAGGTTTCGCATAGATATTTTTTTTCCTAGCCCTTCGACTCTAGAGCATTTTAAATATCCCATCAGTGTTAAATTGTTCCTTAATTATCTCCCCTTGGAAGAGGCGTGGCACTTTGATTCTGAATACCCTTTACCCAAGAATACTCTGAACCAAATTTGTTTGAGATGACAAAATTATACTGTTATATATTCTACTTAAATACTGTTCAACTAAACGTTCTTTGACGACATTCATCTTTTATTGGATCCAAGTTTGGTGAAATCTTAAATTTTCCAACAAAGTCCAAATCATGTTATACCTTTGCCCTTGTTCTCAACATGAAAATTTTCACCACCTCCACATGCATCAATTGGTGTGGAAGTGTCAAGGGGATGGAAAGTGACATGTGAGCAGAAATGGTGAAGGGGATGGAAAGTGACATGAGAGCAGAAATGGTGAAGGATGTAAATGATTGTTTATCTTGTCAATGTTGGAGACGAAGGTGGTATAACACATTTCTATACTGCAAGCAAGCATTGAAAAGATAAATTTATGTTAATAAATTGTTTTAAGTAAAGTTCGTTTAATTGAATCCTGTATTTGATAAGTATTTTAAATGTTAGTATGTTTTGTTATTTCATTGTCAACCCTCCCCCCCCTTTTTTTTGTTTATGTAAAATGTTCTGTAATGCACCCCACCAGGGGCCTCTTTGTTTTTACCCAATCGTTGTACAGTATTTTGTTTATGTAAGTATTTACATAACGCACCCTGTCGGGGGCCTCTCGATTTAGTTTTCATCCAATAGCTGATCAGCATCTTTCATTATCATTTTTGTTTTGTTGAGAGTGGCTGTGTTTTCTATTGCTGTTGATTTGGTTTCATTGACCCATATCCCAGGATTATTTACCTTCCTCCAGGTATTTAGATACTTTATTAGCATTAACTAGTGTTTTGGTGAGTGTACACTCTCGACACGTTTGTATTTTGGATTATTTGTGCCTGTGTTTGTGTGGGAAAATCTAGGTCATCCTGCCTATCATCACGTAACTTTGTTTTGTAAACAATGGCACCGTTACATGTTCTTGTCATGGGACATTCATTCATACGGAGATTGAGAGACTATGTTTTCACAGATGGAGAAAATACGAATTTAAGATTGCAAGGAGATCAATTCTAAGTGGAATTTCGCGCGGCGGGAGGTTTGACGGTACATCGGATGGCTAGTGATGGCCGTTTTACTTCATTCGAGAGAATCCCGGACATTGTGTTCCTTCAGATCGGTGGAAACGACCTTGACAATGGAAGAGATGTTAAAACTGTTGCGAGAGACATTATAAGTTAAGGAAATTTCCTTGTGTAACGTTCAGGCAGTCATTATTGGACAGGTTATTTGGAGGAAAAGGACCAATAGTTACAACGCTAAAGTGATAGAACTTAACAATGCATTAAAACATTGGGTTCAACAACATGCGGATGCAAACATTATATTCCATCACCACCATGGTTTCTGGTCTTCTAATTTTGACTTCCTGTCCAGTGACGGTGTCCATATAAAATGTTCCCACACTGACAAGAGGCACATGCACAAATACATGCAAAGTGTCAAGAGAGCTATTCTGAGAGCGGCTAATCGTCTCCCTGGGTAATCGTTTTACATTTTCTTTTAAATTAGTCTTGGTACATTTCTTTTGTTTTGTTAGTATAAGATTTTATGTGCCTTGACATCTTTTCTTTTTACATCTCTATGTCAGGTCCTGTGCTTTGTACCTTTTAAAATTTGTTATCAAACTCTTGTTAGATGGGATGTAATAGTGCAATTAAAGGTACTTAACCTGTACTTAACCCATTTGTTTATTGCAAATCTTCTTTATTTGGGTACTCAGTACTTCTGTTGTGGACCTTTCTTTTCTTTCCATTTGAAAACAAACCTCTTATATTATCTTGCAAGCACTGAAATAGATCCCCTGTATGCAATTTCTTGAATATACAATCTTGACTTAGGGACACTATTATATTTAAAAACAAAGAAAAAAAAAAAGAAGAAAAAACATTGGGTACCGGTACATTTTAAGAATCTAGAAATGGTGCTCTTATTGAATAACATTATTTTCAGAAATGCCAAGAAAGAGGAAAGAAGCAGATGTTCCAGATGAACTGCCCGGGGCAACCACTGGAGCAGGTGATACCAGTGAACCAGCACCTAAGATGCCACACAATTCGCCAGGATCGAAAACTGCTGACATTGACTATGATAAATTGGCCGATGCCATCTTGAGGAAACAAAAATTTGGTCCAGGTCCAATTCAAACACAAACAGTTTTGGCTGATGTTGTAGACCAACCGGCTGCATGTTCCTCAGGATCTAGTATTACACCACTTCAACAGGATGAAGAAATTAGTAACTTTGTGCATGATTCAAATTCAAACATGTTAAATAAGGAAACAGCCCAGTCTTCTTGCTTACTGGCATTAGACCAATTATTTGGAGGTGAGTCCCTCTCAGTAGGGGATAAGTCATTGTTGAGCAGTGTTGCTCCTTTGCATCTTTCTGCAGGGATACCATTAGGTGCAACAATCACCCAAAGAGTGAAACAAAAGATCTGGAATAATAAATTTGTAGATATGGTATCATTATTACCTGATTTTCAGGAGGAAAAACTATCCGTGCAGGTAGAGCAAGGTAGCATCACTGTCGCTTCACAAGGGGGAAAGAAAAATCCATTGAATATATATCAATGGACAAATGCATTTCTAACCTTTACCTCCATTTATCTGGAACTTAAACCAGATGAGGCTCCTCATTTGCTTAAGTACATGGCCACAATCCGCCAGATTCATGCTACCAATGGTGATGTAGCTTGGCGGTACTATGACGAAAATTTTAGGAAACTACGAGAGTTTACCTCTCTCCCTTGGCAATAACCCCTGGGAGAACTCATGGTCAGGGCATCAACGATACCAAAATCTTTCACACACAATTTTCGCTACTCATATAAATCTCAAAGGGGACAGCCCTTTCATGGAAGACCATGCTATGCCTACAACATTGGCCAACCTTGTATGTCCTCCCCATGTTCATTTAAACACATCTGCCTTTATTGTAAAGACCCCCACCCCAGATTTCAATGCACAAAGGCCAAAAACAATCCTCAATCAATCAGTGGTCAATCAACAAAAGCCCAACCCAACAGTCAAAATAACAAGGCCTTCCCAGCCCAGTAAACCCTTGTCGGCTCAGTGAATACCCGATAGATTATGACCCAGTCTTGAGACAGTATCTGATTGAGGGTTTTTCATTTAGGTTGTTTATCATGTCCAGCTTCTAGATCATGTAAGAATCATTCGTCTACTCAAAGACACTTTGAACATGTGAAAGAAAAATTACATGAACTGAATCTAGGTCGAATCCAGGGCCCTTTTAAAGAATTACCATTCCCTAATTTGGTTTGTTCTCCCTTAGATGTAGTGCCTAAATCTACCCCAGGTAAATTTAGGTTAATACATGATCTTTCTTTTCCATCACATGATTCTGTTAATTCACATAGTCCTGATGAAGAGGCCAAGGTTCAGTATGATACCATCCATTCAGTTATAGAATTAGTCAAAAAGTTTGGAAAAAAATGCCTGATGGCAAAAACAGATATAGAAGATGCTTTCCGCATCATTCCTATTCACACTGAATGCTATAAATTGTTAGGGACCTTTTGGGATGGGGAATTTTATTACGATAGGTGCCTATGGGAGCTAGAAGTAGTTGTAAAATTTTTGAAACTTTCAGTAGTGCCTTGCAGTGGATTATGCTTACTAAATTTGGAGCAGGTGGTATGTCACATATGATAGATGATTTCTTCTTTATCGGTGCAAAAGGTTCCAAGGATTGTGATCGAGATTTAAAACAGTTTATTTCCTTGTGTTCAGAAATTGGTGTACCAATCAAACATGATAAAACTGTTTTACCATCTACAGTTATAACAATCTATGGCATAGAGATAGATTCAGAAGCTATGGAATGTAGATTACCTATGGATAAGGTGGAAAAGATTCGCAGTCAGTTACAAACCTTTTCAAAAAGGAAGAAAGTAACTCTGACAGAGTTACGATCATTACTGGGTTTGCTAAATTTTGCTTCTTCTGTTATTTGTCCTGGTAGGGCCTTTTTAAGACGCCTTACGGATCTTACAAAAGGTACACCTAAGCCTCACTATTTCAAGGTTAGACTCAACAAGGAAGCAAGGTTAGATATCAAAGCTTGGCTTATGTTCATTGAAAATTTCAATAATAAGTCTGTCTTCAAAGAAGACAATTTTGTTTCTTCTGATCATTTGAAGTTGTATACTGATGCATCAGGATCTCAGGGGTTTGCTGGTGTGTTAGGAGCAAAGTGGTTTGCAAGTGAATGGCCCTCTGATTTTTGTGATCTACAAATTGCTATCAAAGAATTATTCCCAATTGTACTAGCTTTAGAAGTGTGGGGAGATATTCTGGAGAATAGGAATGTATTATTTCTCACTGATAATGCTGCAGTAGCTTGTGTAACATATAAACAATCATCAAAAGAACCAATTATCATGCGGTTAATTAGAAGACTAGTTGTCGTATGCATGTGCAAGAATATTCATTTCAAAGCACAGCACATTCCAGGAAAAGTAAACGTAGTTGCTGATGGTTTATCTCGGCTTAAATTTCAGGAGTTACGACGAACAGCTCCTTGGTTGGATCTCAAAGCAACTCCAATTCCACCAGAGCTAATGAACATTTGAGTAAGGAATCCATGATGCTTTTACGTAGTTCCCTTTCTCAAGCTACGAAGAAATCTTATGCCAAAAGCTGGAAGTTATTGAGTTTCAAAAATCTTTCAGTATTGATTTAACATTTCCTGTCTTGCCAGTTATTTTAGCAAACTTTATTGGTCACCTTCACTCATCAGGAGTTAGCCCTTCTTCAATAGCCTCTCATTGTTCAGCTATTAATTTTGTTCATAAGTTATTAAATGGTCTCGATCCATGTCAGTCCTTTCTTGTCAAGAAATTGCTTAAGGGCTCAAGATCATCTACACGTAATATCTCACCAGATTCACGCCTACCCATCACGCATGCAATCCTTGAAAAATTAGTAGAAAAATTAAGCGTGTCAGTCCCTGATCCCCATTCAAGGTTATTATTAAAATCCCTTTTCCTACTTGCATATCATGCATTCATGCGTCTTGGTGAATTAGTACCAAAATCAAAGGCACAAGTGGAAAAGGTAATTCAATACAATGACATTTCTTTTGATACTGAGAAATCCATGTTGATAACACTCAAACATCACAAATCACATGACAGTCCCTTGCCCACATCACTGCATGTTTATGCCAGTGAAAATTCAAAATTTTGTCCTGTTCAAATCATGAAATCATATCTGGCAACTTTTGCACATAGTAAGGGCCCCCTTTTTCAATTCAAATCAGGCTTGCCTGTATCTTACTACTTTGTTTCAAATAATCTTAGTCACACAATTGGTCTTTGCGGCTTAAATCCAAGACATTACAAAGGTCACAGCTTTAGGATAGGTGCTGCGACAGATGCAGCAGCTAAGGGTTTATCAGATACTACCATTCAGAAATTAGGTCGTTGGAAATCCAATGCTTTTCAGAGATACATCAGATTTCCAGCACATTGAACATGTAGCGAAAAATTTATGAAAAGTTGTGTATGTTATCTGAAGGAACTTTGTTAGTGGGCAGCATATGGTTGCACTAGCAACAAAGGACATATTGTAAATGTGTTCCCCCCTGGTTATGTCTCATTCAGTGCGGCGGTCAGCAGTTGGTTGCGCTGTAGAATGCCATGGTATATGTATATGTAAATTTCTTTGTTAAAAGCAGTGGTCAGCAGTTGGTTGCATTGCAGAATGTTATGATGTGTGTATATGTAATTTTCTTATTCTCTAACAATACCTGTTTTTGTTCAAAGCAGTGGTCAGCAGTTGGTTGCACTGCAGAATATTATTTAAAAACTTATTTGGATAGGATTTATCAACACTCTGATTAATAGTTTACATTTTATTTGTTTGGTGGTACATTTACATATGACACTTCTAGTCTGGTTCCCTTCCTTTTTTTTTTAAATTTATTTATTTCTAGTCACCATATTTAGTATCATAATATGACCTTTTTAGCCCTTTTTGGCTTGTATTGTTACCACACATGCTCATTCTTGTAGATATTTATAGAGATTATTATGTTTCTAAAGATTAGACTGGGCTGTTTCCATCTTCGACGACAGTAATTTTATATTTCTTGAATACATTGCAATGTTTTGTTTTTCCTTTTTCTTATTTCCAACTGCCTTCATTTCGGGTGGCCTTCAAGGTTTCACCTTGTCGATGTCAAGGTTTCACCTTGTCTGTGGCAGAATTTTTGGCCACCTTTTTTGCTTTTGTTTTATCATCTAGTTCTGGGAGGCCATTTCAGTGTATAATGTTTGTTGTAATTATGTAATATGTACTCATTCTGGACTGTTTTACCTATAATGTATATTACAGGAAATATTGGTTTTTGGCCTCCCAGTAATTTTTGATAATGTGGATTTTTATCGTCATTTTTAATAAATGACATTTTTGGAATCACAAAAACTGTTCTGTTTTTGTTTTGGCAAAAAACTAGCTTCACTGAAGGCAGTTGGTTGGTTTGAAAGAAGTTTTACTTAAAAGATATTGGTTAAAGATTACATGCCAACTATGTGACAATATTTTTAGCAACAGTGTATTCTGTGAGAAGAAATCACAAAACTTAAAACATACACTGTAATACAGAACCTCCAGCGCTGTTTTAACCATATTCTTGCTTAAGGAAAAGGAGCTGCAAAGCAGTGTCAAAGCATCAAAGCCCGTCCACACAACCACTTTGTACATGTAGCCGATGTCGGTTCCCCGAAACATTCTGAAGAATAAAATCTATCCTCGCTTCATGGTAGACCATTATCTAATGCAATTTTGCTGAGTGCCATCCTTGACATTATGTAGACAATGGGTTCATTCGCTCCAAGTTGCCTAGAAAGTTTTTTTTAATTGTATTTTCAAGCAAATCGTCTCCTTGGATTGTCAACAGGCTAATTTACAAAGGGGTATGACAAAATTGGAGATGTTAAGCTCAAACGAAGATAGCTATTCCATCATCATTCAAAGCAAAAAGCAGAAGACGACCGTCGAAATCTAAAAGCTACCTTCATAATAAATTTATGATTGAATAATTGTATTCCCTTCGAGAATTTTTCACTCGTATAGAGAAATCACCGGCTTCAAATTTAGACCTTTACTCGGTTCTCAGGGCCATTGAGCTGTGAGGGTTCTTTATCGTGCCAACACCTACCGTGACACTGGACCTCGGCTTTTAAGGTCTCATCCGAAGGACCCGCAACTTTCACATCAAAGTGCCGAGCGCTTGGCGAAGGAACAGTTGCTACCTATTTTTTATCGACTTAGGTACCGTTCACGGTAGCTCGGTCGGTAAAGCGCTTGCTTCGTGATCGGGAGGTCGTGAGTTCGAATCTCGGCCGCGACTGACCTAAGTCGATAAAAGATGGGTAGCAATTGTTCCTTCGCCATGCGCTCGGCACTCTGAAGTGAAAGTTGCGGGTCCTTCGGATGAGACCTTAAAAACCGAGGCCCCGTGTCATGGCAGGCGTTGGCACGATAAAGATCCCTCACTGCTCAATGGCCCTGAGTGCCGAGTAAAGGTGAAAATTTGAAGCCCTTCACCGGTATATGGTGACGTCTCTATATGAGTGAAAAATTCTCGAATGGGACGTAAAACAACATACAATCAATCAATCGACTTAGGTCAGTCGCGGCCGTGATTCCAACACACGACCTTCCAATCACTAATAAATATATACAAAATTGATTTGGAAATGCAGAAATCTCTTTGGTCACGTCAAGTTTTTAATTGAGTAATTTGCAATCAAGCATCTATAATATGTTTTTTTTAATTTGACATCATAATGTGCCATTATATGAAGAAGATGATTAAACCAAAAACAATTCCAATCATACTTTTAAAACATTGGACGAGACCATCTTCGATATTTAGAGAATGGAGTGCCTAGGAGAAGTAAGCATCCACTGTCGATCGGTCACACCTGCCAGGATCAGCTTCTACCGTTAAACTAGGACGTATATATGTTGTAGTGTGTGATTCAAGGGTTTTTACTAGTATGAGCTAGTGGGTTAACTCATTATCTCCATCGGTAGAGCAATGGACTGGCATACCAGAGGTCCCAGGTTCAAATCCATGCAGAGGCACAAAAAAAATGTCTCTATTACATTTGCTGCTAAAGCTGGGATTAGGGTGTTCTCTGGCGGGTGAAAATTCCCAGAACTTCGCCCCACAGGCGTCGTCACTCCGAAAGACCCAATTCTATGTAGGAGAAATATAATGAATGATTCACGGCTTCTTACGGGCTTGGGCTGGATGGTTAACTCTTAGCTCAATCGGTAGAGCACTGAACTGGCATGCCTGAGGTCCCAGTTTCAATTCCAGGCGGAGACACAATCTACGCCCCTAGCTCATCTTCCTCCGATGCCCAAAACGTGTTCAACTTTGTTGTCGAAATTTCCTCGTACGCGTTAGCTCTAAGCAGGGCATAATTTCAAGAATATGGTGACAGAGGTTAGTTTTTTGGCAATCAAAATGTTTGACTGACGGTTTCCTTAATTAATATTGAGCTGCTTCTTAAATATGCATTGGAAAATTTTAAATTCTCTCTACATGTAATAATAGTATGGTCTAGTGCCTTGAGGAATTTGAAGCTTTTAGGAATAAAACAAGTACTGGTTCATGCCACCCTCCCTCCCCCCTCTCTCACACACACACACATGTACATACTGGAGCGGCATGTTAACAAACAAAATTCTAATGTTTAAAAATAAATAAAAAACAGAAAGAAAACAAACAAAACAAGAATTCAATAACTGTAAACTCGCATGATTAAGATGAAATTAAGATAATAACGCCCGATGTTTTTTTATTGTTTTATTTCGATGAGCCCCCCCCCCTTCTCCGTACAAGAATTGTTTTCGGTTGTAGCGATTTTAATTTCAAATAATATACAGGGTTCTCTCTCTCTCTCTCGTAAAGCTATTTTACTGATTTTCAGCATTCAACCCTAATGATGATACAGGGACAATCTCAAAATTTCATGGAAATTAAGCCGATTTTCACTATTTCGCCGGATTCGCAACTGCTTCCAGGCCCGTTCTAATGCCCTAAGCTACCACACAAATTGCAGACCGACACTTGTACATACCATTTAACAGCAAGAGATAATGGCTCAACCACCTCGTTTTCAAGCTACAATTCATCCTATGGACCAACCTCGCTTTTCTGGTGAAATACCGGAAGAGTGAGTTTTGATCTTAGTTTCGTATTTCTAGTCCATATCCCATAAACAGTAGTAATGACACTAAAGTGACATATATCAATATAATATACAAGGCCACCAATTCCCTCCAAATGCACACATAAAATATTCTAGCAATAAAATTACCTATAATATACATTCAAACCTTAGGTTCCTCTATTTTTTCTAATTTTTGACCGGTACTTAATCCGAAACTATCCTTTGCCACCTATCTTGTACCTAGACTGGTATTGCCTATCTATCGTTCGTAAATCGCGCATATCAGACAGGCAAGCCAGTCTAATCTTGTTCCATAAAGTAGAGTGTGACTATAATGGGTAGTGAAACCGGGCCGGGCCGGGAATTTCGAAACTGAAAAC